GCTGAGCATTAAAATGCATGCATGTTTTAAAACCAGCCGTATTCAGGTCTCAGGCGCTGCTGTGTTAACACATGCAAGTAGAAGCTGTTATGAGGATGAAATCTGTCGTTTAAACAGGTTCTTGAGGCTGTATTAACCTATAGAAGCATTGCTGTGTTATTAGCTTCAAAAGCTGGCAGGTCTTGTCAGATACGGAGGACCTACTGGCAAGGTGAAAGAGTAAATGGAATATATTAAAGTTTTAAAACTCTACACTGGAAATGATCTGACTCAACCTGGTGTGAAATCTGTTTTAACTTGACCTTTACTGCAATAACATGTCACTTTAACCCTGACTGACTATTTAAATTGTTGTAAAATTACCTTTGTAAGAGCCCTTTGTTAACTGTAGATTCTGAATTGCACCTCAGCAGGCAGATAACAGGAAATCACTGGGTATTAACATCAAAAGTTAAAAAAAAAGGAAAAATAAGACGAGAAACCTTGTTACATTCTAAATATTCTATTCATCTATAAAATGTTAAAACAATACAGTTTGAGAGGAGAAATTAGGAATTAAAATAAGGCTGGATCTGGAAGTCAAACAACCCCTTAACCCAAAGCAAAGTTATATATGATGAAGTATACAAATATAAGCAGTGTCAATCAGGTTAAATAATAAAGCAGAAGGGAAAAAATCAATATGAAATTGTTAACTTTTAAATTAAGCAACAAATGCCTGCATAGTGTCTCTAATTCTTTAGGAACCATCGCTTGATCAAAGGGCAGGTCTCGTGGTAGCTAAAGTGATCAAGTGGCTCTGTAGAAGGATGTAAGTGAAAGTACAATGTGGAAATATAATCCTCAAGAAGCTTGGAAAGACTCGTTTTTGCAAAGAATTTTGTGGGTACAGCAGATCAAAGGAAAAAAGCAAACCTCAACCCATGTTCGATCATTATTCACACAGTGTAGCGTACTATATACAAACATGTGAATGCTTAGCAGACCCGTATTTAGAAAATATGATACCCCTTTAAAGTGTAGCAAAAGTTTCCATTAGTTGCTCAAGTCGCACGCCAAAAAGTCTTTATACACCACAAAATTCTTCCTAATGCAGTCCAGCTTTAGACTTTGTGATTGACATTTATGTGAGCTCCGAGGTGCAGAGACTTGTATATCGCCTTGTTGTGCATGAGTTCCACCTTGGCCGCTGGGAGAGAACTACAGTAAAAGCACATTAAGCATTTCACATCCAAACTCGCTGGAGGGCTGCAGTGTTTCCTAATGCTCGACTTTTTATAGCACACATCAGAGCGCCTGTGTGCGTGCGTATGTAAAATATGTGCGAGAAGGTCCGCTTGCATGAGCGCCTACGCATGCTCTCGTGTGTGTGCGTATCGTTGTACTTGCCAGCTTGCTGGTGCTCCAAAGCCATCTGGTATCTGGTCAGTCTAGTGAGCTTCTGGAGGGCACCTGGCCAGCAGCTTGCTCACCTGGCTCTGCTAGCCCCTGCCAACCACCACACCTGGTCTGGCCAGCGCACACGGAAAGGGAACAGATTGCACAGTGCAGTTAAAAGTGCTCCAACACTAAAGCATGAAATATTGGATATGTTTGCAATTTGATGTATAATGTAGGATTTATAAAGAATACGTCTCTCTCTGTGAGCTGTTAAATATCAGCGACCACACAGATCTCAGTGATTTTAGAAGACGCTGCACACACTCCTATAAGATTCCATAGTGACAAATGTCTACTTCTATCACATCTGTCCCAACAGTTCGTGCCAGACTGTGCCTACCCATCCATTTAGCATATGATGGCACTTCCTTCCTGCAGGTTGTCCTCTGCTATCAATTACACACTCCTCTCCCAGCAAGAAAGATGCTCTTTGTCCCCTGATGTACGCACACAAACAAACGCGCGCGCGCACCGCGGACACAGAGGGACAGACACCTGCAGAGTGTTTGTCACCTCTTCTGTTGACATCTGCGACCGCATGGCATTGTGGGAGAGACGGCCATCTGTTGTCGGCAAGGCTGGATTAGAAGGGGACAAGGGGGCGAGATGCATCATGCTGCTCTTTTCTGTTGGTCTGAGCTGTGTGAAGTGTTGTGCCGTGACGGCACATGGCGTTTGTTGTTTGAAAGTGAAATAATACAGCAACAGAAAAATGTACTTTTTAAATTATTATCATTTTTTTTATTATTATTAAATAGACTACAATTCCCCCTGCAAATGCTGCAAATTTAAAAGTAACCGGAGCTTCTCTTGTGGGCATTACCACCTTTTTTTCCAGGAATTCAACATGCGTGCTAATTACACAAAAGCAGTGTCCTGTAAAGAATGTTTTGGATTCATTAAAACCACATTTAATGGTTGCTTTTTTGTCAAATTGTACTCCCTCCTAATTATCTTGGAAATGTTTAGCCCGCTTCACAGGGAGACAGCACATGAATGCTTGATTGACATGATAGTGACTGCAAAGTTTCTTCAATTATCCTGGCAAGGTTACGATGCCTGCCTCTTGTTTCACAGCAGGTCCTATTCTGAGCACAGAAGTACTAAACTCTACACTTCAGTAACCTATGAATTTCAAGCCCATTGAGATTGTATATAAAAGACAAACGTGGAGTTCGAACCATTTAAAAAAAAGATTTTGATATTTAAAACAGGTGGCTGATGTTTGTCAGTCAGTTGGAGGCTATTCAGTCCACTTTTGTCCATATTAAAGTACATCAATAACTACTGGATTGACTTCATGATTTTTCTTACAGCTTTGATCCTTGGAAGAGGAATCCTATAATGACTCAGATGATCAGTTATCTCACCATTTAGAGGCATCATCAGGCCAAAATCGTAATTTGTTATGATTCTTAATAAAATCATCAAAAATCGCATCCCTTTTAGCTGTGGTTTATGGAATGAGTAACAAAAAAGCAAATGTAAGGATGCTAATTGTCATCATGAGCATGTACTAAGTCACACGGGACTAAAAATAGGACGGCTCCCTGTGACTAGGAAATTCCATGGTTAAATTGTTGAATTGCTTTGCTAGGAGAGAGTTGCAATGACCAGTTGTTTGTGCAGACGGTTGAGAGTGTTGCACGCTCAAAGCTCTGTGCAACCCAAACAGACTTGCCTGCAGTAACTCTCAGAGAGATTAGCAAATGACTGGTTGGTTGAATTCTGGATGTAAGTAGCTGATGTGAATTTATGTCTACGCAGATGGCAACAAAACAGATGAAAAGTAACTGCTATCTTAACCCCATTCAACTGCAAACTGAAAGCAAACTAACTCCACCTTGTTGCAGTTTTATCACCATCTCGACTCACCAAAGTTGCTTTGAAGATGGCAAGTTCCTGCGAGTGGCTGCAGACCTGTTCCTCATTGCTGAATGGACCATTTCAAAGGCTACGAGATCTCAAGGTCATTGCACACAGTTACAGTCATTTAGGGCTTGTTGAGTCTCCCAACTGTTTTCCCTTTTGTGACTGTAGCATTAGCGTTCTGATGCTAGCATTTAGCTCAAAAGCAGCATCGTGCCTAATGTGCTTGAAGGACTGTAGGCTTGTTCAATATGATGTCGTGCAGAATTTTAGCCATCTTCAGTGCTGTATGGATATTTTAAAAGCAGGCATAGACATAATTACAAAGAGTTTAAATTCAAGGAATCATTTAGCCCAGACCTCAAAAACACTGACTCAGTTTAGGATAGTATAGAACCTGCTTATCTTAAAAACACGAGTTATTTAAAGTTAGTTTGAGAATTTACTGCAATTTGTATGAATATATGAATAACTATTAACGGTAGGGCTATGTCTTTTGAAAAAATGCGGACTTTACTTTGATGCCTAAAGCTTTTGCACAACACAGTACAATCCCCAGAATTTTTTCGCGCAGAGAGTCAGCATCTATTCGCTGTGCTGTGAAAATTCATTCATGTAATACCCGTATTTACAACATCAGGTTTGCTGGAAATACAAAACATATTGTTCAGAGGGTTAGAAAATACAAACTGAGCAACCATTTTCATGACTATGTAAAATTCTTCAATGTTAAGAATATACATGGCATCTTACTGTTAAAACAAAGGCAAATATTTGGTTTAAATAGGCACGGATAGAGTTCACTGGCGGCAACGGTACTCTGAGCCATGTGATGTTGGGAGAATAAATTTGCTTCACAAGAAACGAAGCGTTAACAAACAAGCAACTTCAGAGGATGTGGTCTTTATCTTGAGGGATCGCTGCAGAACGAAAAACAAACACCAACAGCAGCTTTGGAAAAAGTGATACCCCGACAGGAACGAGTAACGTACGGCTGAGATAACGAAGACATTAACCCACATATTCCTGAAGGACGTTCATGTGTGCAGGACGTTCATTTGGCTGGCTTGGTTGTGGGTCTGCTCATCCAGCCGGCCTGCACACTGCAGACAGATGTTTGGCCAGCCAAGCCTGCAGCGCCACAGGCAGTGTGTGTTCTAGAAAAACCCAGAGCAGATGCTTCTACCTGGTGTCCCACCCGCTTGCCGCTCCGCTCTTGTGGGTATGCTTCAGTGGCCATCACATGACCTCAAAGCCAGGTTTTCAGATTGCGCGCTGTCAGTCACACTGGTGACAAAGTGGAGCGGCTCTGGAACTGATAGATGTCCTCGGGTCGACTCAGCATGCTCGTCAAGGTGGATCTGACAGGCTGAATTCATTTGTTTTGAATAATGAAATCCGATAGTGACAATACATTAGAAAGTATAAGGTGATTAAATCTTGGAAAATTGCATCAAAATAAACATAAAAACACATCACACAGATGCTACTTCTGATAGCTATTGAGTAAGATCAAAAGATACAATGCAGCATCAACATCTCTTTCAGCCTCATTTTCCCATGTTGTTTGCTCCCCAAACATAAAAACAATCACCATCCTGAACAAACAGAAACACACAATCTTTGTCCCTCTCCACGCTCCCTGTGTTATTACCAAACCCGAGGAAACTTTTGAAGAGATTCAAAGACACTCAAGATTAAAGATTTATTTGTTCTTTTGATGTTGCTGCAGCATTTCTGTCTGATTTCTGCAGCAAATGCAGTCTGGTAATGGTGGTTGTTTTTTGGGGGTTTTTGCAGTGTGGCTGGTGGTGACCCAGAACTGCCAGAGACAGGGAGCTGGCCTGGCGGCTGGGTTCTTGTCTTACACCCCCTCTAATGAGGAACGGTTCAGTAATGGTATCACTTCCTTGTAACCTCCAAGGACAGACAGTTTACTTGCTTCTGTTCATTTACAATATTCTATGGTGAGAGAAAGAAGAGAAAAAACAAAAGAGTAGTAAGAAGCCTGGATGGCTTTGTTTTGCAGCATTTCTTGACAGTCGGGTGCACTTCAAGTCTAGCTCGTCTACATTATTACTTTTTACTTTCTCGCCTGTATGAGGGAACTTCTTTTGTTGCATTGTGTCAATTTTGATAAAGAGATTCTACAGTTATTGTCTTGTACATCTGGTGTCTTTGCCATTTTTTTCCCTATTGCTATGCAACAATGAATGCAATGAAACTTTCTCCCTTTTCACCAAGGAATCTTTGGTCGCACTGATAAGATTTAAAAGTCAAACATGTCTTTGAATGTTTTGATTTGATGCGTAGATTCCAATAAAGCTTTGAATTCCAATAACAGCTCATTGTTCTTGCTTTTATTAACTGCTCTATCTCTTAGACTCGTCAGGCATATCTCAGTGTGCTGTGTGCATCAGTGCATCTCTCTCCCATCTGGTCGAGAGCCAGCAGAGAATCACACTGCCCCCTAGTGCCCGTACTCATTAGTAACACAACAGGATTGTTGGGGCAGCTGTCAACCAGACAATGCTCTGGTACTCTGCCAGTGGCTCGATACCAAGATCTGTCATGGGCAGCAATGCACAACAATAGAATCTAGTGATTGGAGTGGTGCACACCCCTGGCTATGACACCGGTCCACCGCTCGCTATCGAATGCCTGTTGTTCCCCTCTCTCCATTCACAAGACCCCTACTTCAGCAATCAGTGCTACACATTTCAATAGACCCTGTGCTGCTGCCTCAAGGAGAGAAGATGAGGAATCCACGTGAGCTATTGTCAAATAATTCTGGCAAAGACCACAATCTTGGCTTTGCTGGATCTCTGAAAATGACCGAATGACCGGGCATATCACATCGTGGTGTTTGTTTCTGGAGTGAGCTGGAAATCCTTTGCTTTAAAGGGAGCTATTATGGTCATTTCCAGTTCCACATTTTGAATGTTGGACACTGTCAAAGTAGCTTTGCATGACTCACAGTTAAAAGTCTTATTTAAATTCCATTGGACCTAGATGCATCCCCTCAATTAAAAAAGCATCACACTTTAGCACCATTTAAAACCAACTTTATTCTGATTGGCTGCCCCTAGCAAACAGAAGGCTTCAACGGCAGGTGGGAGGGGCTTCTATCCCTGAGAAGATAAGATTAAGGATATAAACTCTAAAGCCAGAGAGAGCCGAGAGAAGAAAAAACAAATCTGAAACTGAACATTTAAAGGAGTCTGATTACTGGTACAAACACTTATTATTGGCTATGTTTAATATGAACATCCACCATTGTAACAATGTGACAGAAACTAAGCGAAAGCATAATATGTCCAGTTTAAGCATAATATATTTAAGATACTAAAAGGTGGGGATTCATATACAGAAGGGATAATAGTAGTGATGTATTGAGCTTTAACACCAAATAAACAATTAGTATCTAATCTTATATTTCAGTTTACATATCACTTGTCTTTCTGGCCCCAAGATACAATGTAAGCTCAAACATCCAAAGTAAATGCTCCAAATGACAAGACAGACTAAATACCTCCAAACAAACGATGCAAGACTACAGAAGGCGCTTTAACAAAGGAAGTATGTAATGAACCTAAGGTGCCTTGTCCCCAATATATCATCCTGAGTGAATTTGCCAACATCACTCTCTTTACCTCCAAGCATGGTAAATGAGAATTTATGCCCCCGCTACTTTATCATTCTTTACTTTTTTTTTCACCCCCATGAGGTAGCCATGCCATGCGAGACGGATATTTTCACCAAAGGCAATATCCCCTCGCAGTAATTATATCAGAGCGAGAGAATGGCTCATTAACATATGTTAGGCATGTCAGGAATTTACAAGCGCCTTTTGTAGATGCCTCTCATCAGTGTGCTGCTCCCATCCGTATGGTATCTCCTTTGAGGATGTAACCTCCTCATTTCCATACACGTCAATCATGCTGCGCGTGATGTTAAGAAACACGCAGCACACTCTGTATGTGGCAATCATAAGGAAGAGCTCAGTGATATGGAAAAGGAATGCATGTGCACACGGGTGGGGGTGTGTGTGTGTGACTATGCGTTTTGTGAAACAACATGATGAAAACAACGCTATGTGGGGAAAAAATATTGTGATGATGTGCCATCGGTGCAGAGCGAGTGAAGTGAGCGTGTCGGCTCCTCTGTAGTGCGTTAGAGGGATGTGTGTGTGTGTGTGTGTGTGTGTGTGTGTGTGTGTGTGTGTGTGTGTGTGTGTGTGTGTGTGTGTGTGTGTGTGTGTGTGAGACTTCCTGATAAGTAACACAACGCCCTAACACATACATCAAGACCCCTACCTTCTGTGTGTGTGTGTGTGTGTGTGTGTGTGTTTGTACGTGCAAAGACACGCATAAAGCTTGACACCAGAGACCAGACACCAGACCCACTAACAGACAAGTCCTGAGGCCACTGAGCGAGTGCGGCTGCTGCTGCACTGCTGCAGGACCCAACATCTGCTGCCCGCAAGAAGGCACACACTGTTGCCCTTTCACCCATTAGTATGATGCCAGCTGCAATGACCTATTTATCAGTTGTGGCCTTATAAAGTACTCAAATATATACATAGATTTTTGTCCATTGTGAAGATGTAAATAATGATATAAAGCTGGTCAATAGTTTTAGTTTCGTAGCCCTAACCTAATACTAGCTCCATAGTGTAGCAGCAGTGTCTCCAGGAAGAGGAACAGCACTCTTCCTCTCTCTGTTGCGCCCACTGGTCGAGCGGCCAGTAAGGCTTCAGAGAGCGACAGAGAGCAGCAGTGCGCTGTGGGAGAGAAAAGGTAAAAGACCTTGTGCTGCACCTAACTTTCTCTCTGAGTGATCATTTTACATGTAAGTGTAGCTGAGATCACAGCACCCGTGTGCAGTAATAAAGTCACAGTTATAAAATCACGAGGCGTTGTGGCCTTACACGATAGTTCAAGACTGACTTGCGTGGTGTTCAGTTCTGTGACCTGGCCCTCGTACTCTCCCAATAAACTAATTAGGTTGACTGAAAAAGGAAATAAAAGCATGTCCACTCGAGCAACTTCACATTTCTTTCTTTCTTTTTAAAACGGATGTGGTACGTGAAAATGACTCAAGAATACGGATCCATTAGCTGAGATTTTTTTAAAAGCAACCCAACTACAGCAAAGCAGGGGTCTGACAGATAAACCTATAAAGAGAGAGAGGGAGAGAGATAAAAGCGTTTGGTCCAGTCCTGCCTTTTTGCTCCAGCAAATTTCGTAACAATGACTGAAGACACAACGTCCATTTCCATCACCGTCCGCGCTCTCCATCTCTCCCTTTCATTCTCATTCATTGTCATTGCTTTTTTCCTTTAAGTGCACTTTCGCCCACACCACTTGGAAATTGATTGAAACAAAATGTCACAATTATGCCCTGTAGCTCGCCGCTTCAATTATTCATCAATTAGGGGCTAGGCTCCTTTTTTTCTCTCCTCTGAGCTGATTTTTCATTCAGTTTGCTCGAGATGTATGGCTCCCCTGCTGTTAACCAGTCCAAAGTCATTAGTTTCTGGGTTTGCAATTAAACCTGATGCATTATGCATGAGGCTCCGACTCAGCAGACACACGCAGCAGCGGCCGCAGCAGCTAGCGAACGAGCTAGTAAGCTCTGGAGGCGTGGATGGGAAATTAATTTGCTAGAAATGAAGTTCTCTCTAGCCCTCCCTCCCTCTCTCTATCTTTCTCTTGTCTGGCAGGTTGGAACAGATGCCACTTTCTGTAGAAGCCGATAGAGATGGGGCAGCTATAGCTGTGCAGTTTGATCAGCGCTGATGGGAAAAGGATGTGCCAAGGTGGACACAGACAGAAAAATAAAATATTCCATTGCTAAATGTAAACGGGTCTTCATATAGATTTTGCGCGGGTTAAACCCAGTGAAGGACTCCACAGAATTATCTCTTTACTGAGAAAAACAGGTGTGACAGGTATTCTCTCACAAAGGTTTTATGTTCAAGTATTTGTAAATAAAGTTATTTTTTAATTGTGTTGTTTTATCTGTTTTCAAGGATTTTACATCGTTGTAGCTGGCATAAAGCCTGCATTTTAGAGCCCCATTGAAACGAGGGTCCTATCAATGTTCATTTGCTGCCATCTAGTGGCTACAGAGTGAAATGTCAAATACATTTAAAGGACAAAATCACTGAGGAATGAATCCATGTATGCTTCCAGACCTACACACATCCCTTTGATATTCATTGAAACATTTTGTGCCTTCAGTTTAAGAGATGAAAAAAATGTATGAGATGAAAAAGAAGACTGTATCTTTAAATAAACTTGTATTTATCTTGTAGCAACACCAAAGTAGGCGTGTCCTTCTGTGTTAAAGCACCTGTATGAACAGAGAAGGGCACGCACTAGAATAGTGAGCATACTCCTCATTTTCATGTCCTGTAACACAAAGGCAACAGAGCTCATTTACCTACTTCAGTCATTATGTATGTAGCATTTTTCAGCCGTATTGCATACTAATGTATGTCTGCTTTAGCAGGTGTCACAGAATTATGTTGTTGAAATTATGCAACTAGAATAGGGAAAAAACAATGGATTCACCTTCTTTAGATTTACATAATGTACACAATGCAGCCAGGTGGTGAGGAAGGGGCTGCAGCAGACCGTACAAGAACTGGCGGTATCCAGCAGACGTCTTTAGATTTGGATAGTGGGGAAGCATCACATGGATTAGAGAGAACCTGTTCCTGTCCTCCCGCAATACAAACCTAACAACCACTTCCTACTGGTACAAAAGGAAACAGTGATATGGAAACAAAGCCAGCATTAAAGGAGCAAAATATCTATTTCTTTTAAAAGACTGACATTTACCTTTAATATAAGTACTTCAGCATACTGCACCGAAGTCATGAGCTCACACTGCACAAACCTGTTCCCTTCACAGTGCAGTTCCGTTACGGCCAAGTTATTTCACAGTACAAAAGTAGAAGCAGAGATACAGCTTGACACAAATACCTTAAAAGCTACCTTATCAATATAGGAACACTATTTTCAGTTAAAAATTAACTTCAGGGAAATTTAGATCGTGTGAGTGGCCAATCAAATTACTGATTTTCCTAAAACTCTTGATTTGCTGACTAAAACAAGAAAAGAAAAGAAAAGAAAAGAAAAGAAAAGAAAAGAAAAGAAAAGAAAAGAAAAGAAAAGAAAAGAAAAGAAAAAACATGGAAAACTCAACAGGTAACTGGTGTGGGATCTTATGAGAACCCTCCTCTGGTAGGCTGGTCAAGTAGTTTCTGGCTGCATAAACAGCTTTGTCAGCTCTTTGCACTGGTACAGCTGCCAAGGAAGCCAGGACAGCTTGCTGAAGTTTAGGTTTATCTCAGACAAGCGAGTGAGATGACCAAGCTCTGCAGGAACTTCCTCCAGCTTATTGTCCAGCACGCTGAGGTGTTCAAGCATAGTCAGACTTGAATTTGAGAGGAGGGGGGGTTTACATGCAGCATTTTCACAATGTGTGCACATGTGTATCAGAATTAAACTGTCATTAAATGATTTGTTGACTTCAGAACCTATAATTGCAGATATAGGGAGTCATATTGCACCTTTTAATCCCTGGCGGAAGTCTTTGAATCTGGTTGTGGTTCAGATTGAGGACAAGGTTCTTGAAGCCACCTGTAAAACATGAATATTGCACAGACACACACACACACACACACACACAGATGACTGGAGCTTTGTGTTAATCATACAAAACCAGTAAGAGCCTACCTATCACATCAGGTGGCACTACAGTAATTTGGTTTCTGAACAAGTACCGCTTTTTCAAGGACTCCAGATGGCCCAGAACAGCGGGAAACTCCTTCAAGGCATTATTTCCTAAATTCAGCTCAGCCAGCTTTCGGGCGTTGCAGGAGGAAAAGTATTTAATCACAAATCTGCGTGATGTGTAAAACATTTCAAGTGGCACCTTGGCAATTTTCCAGCAAATAGATAAGCTGCGAGCAAACAAACGATGCGAGAAGACTCACTTGATGTAAGGAGAGCAGCTCAGTGGGAAGGCCTGTGATGGAGTTGTTGTTTAACAGGAGGACTGACAGGTTTGTGAGTCTGGAAACGCACTTGGGAACTTCCTTTATGTGCGTCGAGCTTAAATTTAAAGAGGCTGCTCCGGCATATAAAACCCTTATCACCCACTTTCTAGCCGCCGATTCCCTTTTAGCCATTTCTTTACGCCTATCGTAACGTTCTGTGGAGTTACCGTGGCAACAGCACGCTCTTTGACAAGTCAAAGATCTGATCCGGAGCGGCTGCGACCTCTGGTGGACACAGCTGGATATTAAACTGTTAAATATGGGTGGATTGATTATAATGGCCAGTTTTACCATGACACACCCATGACAGTGAGGGTTTTTTATTTTTAATGCATGGTATATAAATTGTGGTGCCTATGAGGAATACAAGGATGCTCATTAGAAACATTCAGAATAAAGCTGTGACACACACACACTCATGGTATTGTATGCATTTATGTAACTTGGTATCATTTACACGTTTAACAGCTCATTTCAGCCAAACAACACTGAAAACAACCACTCGTTGTCCACATTTGGTTGGTAGTCACACATGATAAGCAGCTCCTGAATCCTCAACTGCATGAGTGGAACTGTATTTTTTTTCTTAAAAAAAAAAAAGATTCAGCGATGCCTCTGAAAATGAGCTAAAAGGTAACCCTGTAATCATTAGGATTAGCCAGGGGCGACCCATGTAAAATCTTTTCACACATTCTGTTCAATTGTGTTTTTTTTATTATCATTATCATGATTAACACAATGTTATCGTTTATACATTAGAAGTTATGTATTCATTTAGGTTTCACTCTCCGTATCTGACTTCAACACAGACATTTAACCGATGTGAAAACAGAAGCATTCTCTGTTGAGCTCAGCAATGTCTCGCTTGACCAGGGGTCTCCCTTCAAATATGTCATATTTCAGGGTGCTTTGTGTTAGAAGTTTGAACACTCTCTGCATTACGCCAACAGCCTTATGTTAACTCTCTCTCAGCTGTCCTCAGCATTGACTGGGTCCTTTAGCTGTTCCACAGAATTGTAGTGCTCTCCTAGACCATAAGCGTGCCGCATATAGCTACAAACAAAGAGACAGAGAAAAGGTTATTGTATAGGAGGAAAAAATAACGCAGTATATCAGTTTCCTAGCTTTGACATGCAGTTACACGAAAATCCAAACAGTCAGATTGGATTTAGACTGGCAGTAGTGAAAAATGTGTTTGTAAATTTGTGATTGCAAATTTAAAATGTTTAAATGTTTACTACAACTACATTCATTTGCACATTTTTACTGACAGTGTTGTACTCTGAGCAAAAAACATATTTGGAAACATTCTTACACAAGTGTGATGGGTTCGCCGTCATATTCCTCCCCAATTTTTATGGTAGGAGAGTCCGCCTGGATCACCTCGATCGGCAAATGAAGAACTTGCGTCAAAGCTCGAAGCTGCAAAATTTGAAAAATTAAAAAAAATCCATTATTAAAATGAATTGAAAAGTACAACAAAACACTTCACTGTGTATAGTACAGTATATGACAGTTAAGGAGGAACTCACTTCCAGTTGTCCACCCCAAGCTGATGTGTGCTCCACATCACTGCAGTATTTCTCAAACTCATCTGGAAGCAAAAGACAAACATGTCAATTGAATATTAACAAATATAGCAGTGAAAGTTTTACTTTCATTACCAAAAACACAGATGGTCTCACCTGTTGTGTACATGTCACCTGTGCTTGGGTTGGTGAGGAAAGGCAGGAAGTCGTCAGGATGGCCTCTCATGTGCTCGGCAGTGCGGGATCGCAGTTCCTTCACACTTGTGGGTAATTGGAGCTAAAACAGAACAGAATGCAGTAGAAAATGTGTTCTGTGTGTCTAAACTTGACAGTTTCTCATTGAGTCATTTTCTGTATGACAAGCTGTACAGACTCCAAACACGGAAGGTGTCAAAGATTGTCAGCAATGCTCAATTTCTTATGTAATTCCTGACTCAGTATATAAACTACAGCTACAGTTATTATTCAATTCAATTTTGTTTATACAGCACCAAATCACAACAACAGTCGCCTCAAGACAATTGATATTGTAAGGTGGACCCTACAATAACGCATACAGAGAAGAACCCAACAATCATATGACTCCCTATGAGCAAGCACTTTGGCGACAGTGGGAAGGAAAAATTCCATTTTAACAGGAAGAAACCTCCAGGCTTTAGAGGGCCAGGGCTCAGGAAGGGCGACCATCTGCCATGACCAGTTGGGTGAGAGAAGGAAGACAGGACAAAAGACATGCTGCGGAAGATGCCTCTATAACAACATGTACCTTTGATCGCCGTGTCAGCTGATCTTCAATAGCACGGTACATGCAGTGGCCATCAGAGGAGATCTCCTTGATCTGAAGCTTTTGCTGGGCGAGTTTTTGGACCAGCTTTAAACCCTCCTGATGTCTCACACCCTGCAGGTTCTGCACCTCAGCCTCTGCTATCCTGATCTCCCTCTCCTTCTCCTGTGCAGCCTTTTTGTCCTATACGAAATCATTTAAAGGTCAAAAGCAGGTAAATACGGGTGATTTATTAGACTCCAACTTATATCTAGCAGGCAGAACTGATCATCAGAGACCTCTCTAAAGCAGAGACGTCATGAATGTGAACTGTGGTAAACAAGGACGATTGACTATGAGTTCTAAGTGTTCTTCTTCAGGAAAACCTAAAATGTAAATGCATAAAGGTTCGACAACACACAAGTCTTTAAAGTTGCACCTCACCCTTCTCTTCTGGGCTTTGGTTACTCGCGGCTGTTTCGCCTCCTCTTGTTCTCCATCTTCCACCTTTACAGTCTCCACTCCATTTATGACCTCTTCCACCTTCTAATATTGAGTAAAGAGAGAAATGGTTATGTTGTAAACTAGGGTTGGGTTTTGATAATCGATTTATCGATTAAAATTGATTCTGGCTTGGATAACGTGATATCGATTCATTAAAATCCTAAATCAATTTTTTAATATTAATTTATTTTTCCAGAAACGCCAGAATCTCAGGTTAAACCTCACAAAATTTCAACAACCACCAAACATTTAAAACAGTAAATGAGAGCAGGAACACGGATTCTGCACAAAGACGTAAAAACAAAGCGCGGACCCGCAGATCAGAATCAGTGAGATGTCGCCTTTCTCACTCGACGGCACGGACATGGTCGGGGCTGAAAGCCGACAGCTCGCTGATTCCGATGTTTCGGCGGGTCCACGCTTTGTGTTTACGCCCTTTTTGCGCTGATTCTAAAGCTGTTAGTTTTATCTCTCTCCAAACAATATTGACCGAACCAGCAGCAAAAGAAGATCCAAACTAAGCCTCACATAAACATCGTCATGAATTCCCTCTGACTTTTGCTGTTTTGCTTCCACCACGATAAAAATCCCACTTCATGCACAGCTCTCTCTCTCTCTGTATACTTCAAGAACAGTTTCCCATCTAAAAATCTGTTTTCTGCATTATTCGCTTGCTTGTTACGCACAAGTCTACCGTTGTTTACAGCGCTGTTGGCCGCTGTTTTTTTTCCCTTTTACTTACTTCCGAAAAGAAAGCCTCATTTCTGCTGTTCAACAGACTTCTGAACAAATGTAAACTTTTTAAAATTATGCAAAATGCAAAACGTTTAGCCGTGTCTCTAATAAAACCGCTGTCGTATGTTGATTAATGGTTTTCTTTCGTTTTTGATGTACTGCAGAATATTTTATAAAATCCCAGGCCAGGAAAACCACCTTCATGTTTTTCTGTGTTTTATCTTCAGCTACTTTGACACAAAGGCATCTGCTGTGATGTTTACACCTTTGATAAAGTCTTGCGAGTGTCAGCTTCCTTTTTATAGATACAAAAATATGTAAATGTACTGATCTGAATTATAATATTTCTAACTGTCTGAGGCAAAACTTCCCAGATTTAAACCGAATTGAATCGAATCGTGGATCGAATCAATATCGTCACTGACCTAGAAATCAGTGACGATACCCAGCCCTATTGTAAACTGCAGCTGATACAGCACAAAGACTAGAATCATTTACATACTGAATGTATACTGAACACATACAAAAACCTTTTAACAGCTGTGTTCTTTCCCTTTCCATCTTACACTTGTTACCCCATTATGAAAGAGTGCTTCTACATTAATTACTAATCAAACTCTACCCGATTTGTCGACCATCTAAACATAATAAGTCACCTTTGTGTCAGCTGTTGCTTTGAGCTGCCTGAATTCCTCCTCATGTTTCTGACTCAGGTCAGCCTCAAGTTTGGAGATCTCCTCTGTCAGCTGTTTCCTCCTCTTCTTGTCATTTTTGGGGACTGCATTTTTCATGCCCTGGACTTTAGCTGAAAATGACACAAAGCAGACCATCAAACAAAACAGTACAACACAACAATACAGATGATGCTGCATACTGGTTAGAAAAGTTATACATGCACAAAACTGCCAACATAGTGAAGGATACACTGTCATAGATAGCACTAATGCACCTAAAAAAAAAAAGATTAAAATGTTTCTGCACCTGTCTACACCAACTGCACAAACAGATGATTTTACATTATCAGACATTATTAATTATTTTGCAACATGTGGCATGTGAAAGAAATGTTTTGATATCAGTGGTCAGCTAAAGCAGCAACTCATTTTACATCATGAGCTACATAGAATAGAATAGAATAGAATAGAATAGAATAGAATTCAACTTTATTGTCATTGCACATGCACAGGTACAGGGCAACGAAATGCAGTTTGCATCCATCCAGAATCCATACATACAGCCAACTTTCATAGTAAGTGAGCCAGACCAGTGAAACACCTTCTTTCAGCCAGTGTAAAGCAGTTAAACCACAAATTTAATCCTTGAGACATCTAAAAATAAGACAAAGAAGTGCAATTTCAAAAAATATCTCAGTTTTTCTACGTGATAAAGAAATACTGCAGTAGCAAATGAAATAAATCTTTCAAAATTACTCTTTGGGTTTAAGCCGTAGGAAACAAAGGTGTAAAATTACAGAAGCATTTCTGGTGGCTAACTTGCAAGACTTTTCCTTTAAAACAGAAAGCTTTGTTAATTGACAAAATTCTATTTTTATTTCTTTTCTGATGTTTAATTACTTATCTATTACCTAATTACTTGGATGTAGTATGAAATGCCATGGTGAAGATCTTTTTCATTCGGAAAAACTATAAAGCTTATTAAAATACAAATCACATTTTCCAAAGCCGGTGGGGCCGGATTGGTGTGTTTGTCAGACCGAATCCGGCCCTCGTGCCTTATGTTGGACACCCCCTGGGCTAAAGTCATCAAATCCTTAAACGTTTCTCCCAACAGTGATCTGTGTATTAGAGGTTTATTACTCTAAAAACAAAACAAACTACGCGATAAGGCTGGCAGTTGCCTCACAATAGTAACCACAGAAACGTCTGCGGTGACCATTATTTATTTACTTGTTGGTCACTTAATAGCGGCTAAAGTGAGACTAAACACTCCGACACATAAACAACACACGGGCACGCTAACTAGCTACCAGCAAAGGCTGAAATGTTAGCCCACCAAACAAAAGAGCACTGTTAAAAGTAGCTACCCTGCAGATCCTTCTTCTCCTTGCGGTGCTGCTTTGCTAGGAGCTCCTCTGGTGTCTCCACCTCCTCCATGACTGGATGCTGCTGTTAAGGTCAACCACTAACAGTGCTTACGAGGTACATGAACCTGACTACCATATGTGTTATTAATGACTTGTTATAAAATGTAGCTCATCATTAGCACAAGATAAAAGCACACAAATACAGTGAACGATAAATAAAACGTGCTGATATGGCCTTATCCGGAAGAGAGGGTGGGGCTTCTTCTTCTTCGCCAAAGATAAACTCCGAGATTGTCTCTATACCGCCACCTCTCGGTATGTTGTGTACTACATTTCCAGGCTGTCTCGGGACTACGTTCTTTATTTTAATACATTTTATTAAATATATTTTAAATAAATATATTTTCTAGACACGTCGTGTTCATTTAATCTCATCTTCATCTAAGAGTGGACAGGAAAAAGTGTTTCCTCTTTCTTCGCATCTTGTTTTTAGATCTTTACCACTGGTTTGCAACCTGGGGAATAACAATAACCCTCTGAGACAGAAAGAAAACAAATATTTTGAATATGAGGGTTTGTGGTTATACTGAACAAGGTATGTGGACCTACCGGGAGGGAGGAGAAGAGGAAGACCTGAAAGGACATTTGTGGATGCAGTGAAGGAGTGAATACAGAGGGCCTTTGTGACAGAGGAGGATGCTAGAAGTAGGGTGAAATGGAGGCAGATGATCTACTAAAGGGAGCAGATGAAAGAAGAAGAAACGCCAAGAAGATCCAGTGGGTTTAAAATAGATTGCATGCTTCTTTTCAAAAGGGTATAACAATACTTGTCTGTAAATATTAATTTCAAATTAAAGGGGAAAAAATGTATGTGACTATTTAAATGCCTTTGTCCTCGTGACAAGGTCATCTTTAACCCATAGAAAAAGGTATCTATATTGTACCGAGTCTGTCTATCTAAATATCAGCTGTGTCTGATTTCCTTTTGTTAAATTATCCAGTATGATCGAATACGCATGAAAATATTATTTGTAATTTTTATTATTATTAATGTCTGATTTTATTTGTATCTCATTAAAAACAGATATCGAAAGCTGATCATAATATACAGTCAATCAAATTTTGCCTGTTAGCGGGCGTGTCGTGTGACGTGGCACGGGGAGCGGAAGAGCTTGTTTGTGTTTTGGTTCTAAGGGGAAGTTGCGAGAAGAAAGAAAGGAGGAGACGTGACAGGATTGTTGAAATTGTTTTCTCGGTCCCCCCCTCCCCTGACACCAGCTCATCACAGTGTCCCGGGTTCTGTGTGCGAACTGCAGCGGTGCTATTTAAAGTTGTACATCGCCTGGCTCTCGGGTAACGTACTTGTCACGAATCTACGAGTTGTGGTTTGCAGCTGGCTCGGTGACATGACGCCGCCGTTTGTTTAGTTGTCATCGGTGACTTCGTTAGCTAGCTATGTCGCTAGCTAAGTGCAGCTAATGTCGATGGTGTTTGGTGGCATGGGGGATGCAGAAATGCGGGCCTTTGTCCTGTCGAGTCCGCTTGTTCTCTTGTATACCAATAGCAAAAAGCTTATAATGTCTTGTATAGCAGGTAGCATGGCAGGCTTACAGTGACTTTGCTAATAGGTGGACTGGGTTCAGTGGGTGTAATGCTAACGGTGACAGCAAGCTAACGTTAGTGTTTGTTAATTGAGGGGCTCAGCTATTCCCCTTGAATCAACATTAGCTAAACAGCACCGGCAATCAGGGTTTCAATTCGAAAGAAAAAAACAATGGCGTTAGTTTTATGCAGATAGCTGTCGTGTTGTTTTTATGTCCTTACAGCAGTCGGGAGACTAATGACACCAGACAGCTAGGAATGCTAAGCTTTGCTAACAGCATAAACGCTAACAAGCTAGAGAACAAAAACACTTTGGGGAAAATGGCGGCCCCCTCTAACATCAAAACAGACCGATAGCCACTGCTAACATAGAGCGAGTGTGTTTATAGTCAACTAAGTATCGAGGGTTCAAGCCAAATATGCACGTCGTAGTCATGTAATGCGCAGCGTTTGTTGACAAATCGTGTCATGAGTGTGGGTAAATACAGTCACTGTTCTCATTCCAGTTCCTGGAGCTTGTTTGTTTTCTTGCTGCGCGTCTTCAAGACTTCGTCTCAAGGATAAGTCGATTGAGATAAGGTTGAAATGTTTTGGCATGACCTCGCCGGTCAATTTATTGACTCGTTTCCCCAAAGCTCTTTATTTGAAATAGACCCAGAAATCTGGTGGCTGTTATCTTTACCTTAATAAACTCTGTTATATGAATGCCTTCAGCCTTTAGTGTTGCGACACAAGTAAGAACGGTTTGCCACAGATGTGGGCTAGTGACGCACAGGTTTATAGTGTGTGTGAAAAAAGTAAATGCTATTTATAGAGCTCATTTTGAAATGACTGGAGTTGACCATAAGTGCAGTACAGGCACACTCATTTTGTAATCCACGTCTCAAGAACCCAATTACAAACATGGAGCTTACATAAACAGGGAACATAATAAAATATAATATTTAAGAAAAGAAATCAGAAAACAGCTGCATTCTACCAATGCTAAACAGTCAAGTAAAACAGTAGTACAAAACATTTACAGTGTGTTTGACCAAACACTGACGGACCTGAGGCTAAACTAAAAGCTGCTAAAACAGGTATGTCATTAGAGCTGATTTAAAATCATCAGTTGTTGAACCAGTCCCCATGTGCTTAGGGGCAATAACCACAAAGTCCCAGTCGACTGTAGTTTTTAGGCAAGAAGGGGACACTGAAAGAAGAAGTTAGGGTGATGATGTCAGTGATTTGGAGGCAAAAATATGGAGATAAAAAGTGAATCGCACATTTGTAATGGCAGACATTTTTTTTTATTTGCTCTGTTGCATTTGCACTTAAGCAGTCCTGGCACAGTTACTTTATAGACTGACTTGCCTATTTTTGCAATTTTGTTCAGAGTACATTCATAGCTGTATCCTCTTAGTTATCTTGCAGATTATAAGCACATGTTAACTCTTAACTTATATAATTAAGTAGCACTTTTCTTCTTGGAGCAGTCACAGCTACTACTACTCGTTCATCCCATCACACATAAATGCATACAAGTGCTTTTTTTTCTTTGCCATAGCGCCTTTTCTATCATTTGCATGCACTCTAGCTCACAATGCATGGATTGCAGGCGACTCAGGGTTCAGTGCTTTCCCCAAGGATACTTAAGCATGCAGTCTAGAGTAGCCGGGGAATCTATCCATCAACCTTTCAAGCCACAGCCACTCAAATGTGTCGTATGCTATTACGTACTGCTACCTTACAGTATACTATAATTCAGTACAACATCTTCATAAACTGCCATTGAGGCTACAGCCACCACAGATTAATGCCTCTCCTCAACAGAGTGTGACTTGTGTGGTTAACAAAGGTTGCTTTGTGCTTTATTGCACTGCACCATATATGTGAGTTTGATGCGAGGCGAAAGGCCAGTTTTTGGTCAGGCACAAGATTCCACTAAATTCACCCTGTGAGGCCAGACATAAGCCGTGATTATCTCCTTACAACAGCCGTCTGTGTTTTTTAGAAATTCTGAGCTGTTCATTCCCAAATAAGTTAGTAAGCACTACATGCACGCATGGTATGCATGCATGCAATGGTTCTCGCAGTTATACCACACTTGTGTAATGTGGGTGGGTCTTTCCCCGGCTCTCTTTCGAGTTTGCCATGAATCACTGTTGTAGTTCATGACAAGGCTTCCTTTTCCTGGTGTTACTGTAAGTTACATTCATGAAGAAGTGTCTGAAATTTCTGCATCCCCTGTCAAAAATTGCACATGCATTCAGAACAGGCCTTTGTGTGTTTGAAATGCTCGCATGTTATTTTTACTGACTTGAAATGTTCACAGAATAATTCAGTTATTAGCGTTATAAAATTGCATTTACAGCCATAATTTGCAGATAAAAAAGATAGCTAATTGATACAGGCTATCATTTTCAATGCACTGTATATGAATTATATTTGAATTTATTGATCACATAAATTTCTTCATGTTGCCTAAACTGCAGTGTGAAAACCACCTGTTTCTTTGAAACACTCTGTGTGTGAAAACCTTCTTAATTCACAACAAATTGAAGTGATACCAGTGGGTGCATGCTTGACTTTGATGTGTGCAAGTATGAGTAAGAGATGTATCATTTTTTGTATGTAGTCTGCTCTGAGGAACTTTCATTGACCTTTATGTCCCAGTCAAAATGTCAAAAGATTGCCTAATTTAGTTACTTTTTTCTAGTAGCCTATTCATTAGTCTGATTCTAGTTTTCATAAGATTTGTAATTTTATAATGATTTTCAGAGGAAGCTGATCTTATATTTATAAATTGTTGCATGATTTTAATATATGAGTAATGCTCATTTGTCTTAAATGTCAGACTGTAATCTATACAAAAATAACTGTTCCGTTCCTGTTATGACTTGTTAAACTGCATTTGAAGGGAAAAGAAATTACAAATCTCTTAGAGTTTAATATCTGTTTTTACTCTGTGAACATGCTTGTTCTCGTGCTTCCTGCAGCAGAAGTCCCGACAGTGAGGTTCGGCACACAGGACACCTGGGATCTGACTAGGTCATGGCCAATCGAGGAGGAGCTACGAGACCCAATGGACCAAATGCAGGGAATAAGATCTGTCAGTTTAAGCTGGTGCTGTTGGGTGAATCGGCTGTGGGGAAGTCCAGCTTAGTGCTTCGCTTTGTCAAGGGCCAGTTCCATGAATTCCAGGAAAGCACAATAGGAGGTAAGGTCATGTCATCAAATCAGGATGTTTCTGACAACCTGGCAGTTCTGTTGTTTTTTTTTTTTGTTGTTGTTGTTTGTTTTGTTAGTTTGTTTTCCTGAGAAGTCCCCATTCAGAATACTGATGCTTTTGTGTTGACACATTTATCAGCTCTTTTGTTTATATGACCTCCTAAAGATATAGTTTTGGTGTCGTTAATGATCACGCAAAAATGACTCGTCTCTTCCTATCTCCACAGCGGCTTTCCTAACCCAAACAGTGTGTCTTGATGATACAACAGTGAAATTTGAAATCTGGGACACTGCAGGCCAGGAGCGTTACCACAGTTTGGCACCAATGTATTACAGAGGAGCACAAGCTGCCATTGTGGTCTACGACATCACAAACGAGGCACGTTCATCCTTGACTAAGACCCAGGCCTTCCAGAGCACTTGTAGAGCAAGTTAAAACATGAAAGTAGCATTAGATGTTGACAAGTGGTACCGTGTCTTCATTTTTTTTTCAGGAGTCCT